CCTTTCTCCCTGACCTAGAGCTGGACAGAGCTCACTGCTGTGCAAATGTATTTAACTGATGAATCTAGGACTATCTCCACATCCTTCAATTCCAAGTGTCTCTATCCTACTCTCTTCCCTTCTTAAGCATCTCTTCATCTATTGTCTACCAGAAATGTAACATGGGAAACTTGAGCTGGGGCAGTGTGAAGCACTCATCCTGTGCCTTGAGCCATATATATCCCTCTTTCTGGAAAGGGGGATCTTCCTCACTCTTGCTTTCTTCCTTAATGACTCTTTTGGAGTGTTATAAATGTGATTTAACTGCATTAAGTTTTGGGATTCAAAGTTGCGTTAAAATATTATGCAAAATTAGGATATATTCTATTGTTTTGCATGGATTTCTTGTTATTTTGCAACCTGTAATATCTACCAAGAGAAATAAAGATATAAAGATAATTAAATTATATTAAAAGCAGATCAGATATTCCTGATTCAGAGTAGCTCACTTCCTCAAGTTTTCTATGTCACTAGCTTAAGCTTTGGGACAGCAGTTATCTCACTGTTATGTTGTTAGATACATAAAATGAGACTGAACCAAGAAATCTGGGGCTTCTATAAAGTTCTCATTATAAGATTTGCAGTTTTACACATGCACAAAAAATCAATTTATTATATAGTCACAAAGTAATATTTTGGAATAAACATAGGCAGTTACATTCTGAGGCCAAAAACTTATCAGGGCAGCTCAAGAAACAGAACAAAGGTCTCTATTCTGACAATTATCATATTTATCTGTTGAAATTACTATGATTTCAACTTTGTGATGAAGGGTAAAAGCATTAATTACTGCTGCGTTACCTCTGAAAAATACAGTGATGCTTTCCCCAGAGCTGTGACTTCTCAGTTCACTAGCAACCCAAGTCAGGCTTAGCTCTAGGAGTACCTCTCAGTGTTCATGCTATGCCAGCACAGCAAAATGCAATTTCCTGGCTGATGGAAGAAGTAGAAGAGGATTGCTGCAGTTATTATCACCTGGTTAGGCTGAGGTCTTGATGTCCACTCAGCCCAACAACAGGATTGTAATGTAGCCATTGCCATTCCTCACCTGTTCTTTCAGCTCTGTGAGATGTCTCATTCTTCCTGTTCGTAAGATGGTATTATGGATTTAAGGGTCAATCTCTCCTTGAGGACATCATTTAACCTTTCTGTTATCCTATACAAGAGTCAGGATGATGCCACCGAAGATTTAAAACTGGGCAGTGATGGTCAGGGAAGGGCTGGCCTCAGGCTGACTTGATACAGGCCTTCCTGGTGGTAATTTGTCCAGACCAATGGAATGTTTTAAAGCTGGGTATACACAGCAAAACCTCAGGGAAAAGACAATGCCAATTTTGTTCTTTTCCACCTACATAAGAGAATCCATACTTTAGCTCAATCTGTGGCATCAATACATTGATGGAGGAAGTGAGACATGAATCCATTTCAGAGAGGGGGAAAACAGTGTCTGTACCTGCATGCTCACATCTAGATTCCATGCCAGGAGCAGAAAAGAAAGCAAATGATGTGGAATGCATTTTTAATAATAAAAAAAAGCAAACAGGGAAAACTCCCCAGAAGGAGGATGAGTAGAATAGCTCAGAACACTGAAAAAAAACCTGCTGGAGACAAAACAGAATGCATCCTATTGCATTTTCCCAGAGCCAGGAAGAAAGTAACTAGTTCATAAATTCCATCAGGAGCTTGGGGATTTTTGATGTAATGAGTTTTACAGTTTCAGAGGAGACTGCTTTGCTAATAATTATGTAACAGTAATTAAATCTGAAAAAGGCTGTACTCTAACTATGTTGATTTATTGCAGCTCCAACAAAGTACTCCTAGAGTGTGCTTTGGAGCGTGCACCTCCTCCCTCCAGTTTTCTTTAAATTCTCACAGAGCACTGGGTCACAGATGGTCTGAGATACGATATTTTCCCTATTAAATTCCTAATAATCTTTTTCCGAGGCTGAGTCATGGAAGCCTGGGGATTTCTCATTTTAATTAGAAGGTTTAAGGAGCTAACTCTGTTTGAAATTTCCTCCTAGGAGATATGGGTGCAGGTGATCCCATTCAAAAGAATGACACAATATCAAGGCCAACATCTCATTTCCATATTAGATTACAGCTAGTTTGGCATAACTCCTGATCTGGATGCTGATGATGTGCTGCCTGAGCAGCAAACTTTTACCATTTGAAAACAGGATTATTTTAGGATTATGTCTGAAGACATTTTAGGCTCTAGTTGGATGTTTCCTACCCTACCACAATGCTCCACCACCCTGTGTAGAAACCATTTAGAAATGTGAATTATTTATTTGTCTGATTGAAGCAATATGTCTATATTGCTTAATAAACAGTGCTGTTAAGGATTCTCATGCAAAGAGATTTAACATATTGTCCAAAGGGCTGATCCTCATGATATTTAAGATATCAGTGTTTATCAGTTGGTTTTCATCTGCAAATTTATAAGCTATATAAGCAGCACATTCACCCAGCAAAACATTTCATGCATGGCTTTAGTACTTGCAGTACCTGAAAAGCAACATTCTATCTCTGCCATCCAGAGGAGGTTATTCTTAGGCACTCATAGCTGAGTTTGGTCGTTTGTAAGAATGCCTGTTGTTTAAGAGTTAGTCTGGTGTACTATTCACATGTCCCTTGATAGCCTATTGTGGAAAAAAAAACCTGCTTCTTAGAAGACAGCTGTTGAAATTTCATCAGCCTAGAACTACACAGCCAATTCCTGTGCTTTAGGAAAATAACGAGCATCTCTTATTCTTCCAGCATGCCACGCAGTTGTCAAGAAGTCAGGTAAGAGAACGTTTGCCATTTATATCGCCAGGTAGCTTACTGGTTTTCAAGATGCATAAGTGACTGTAGTTTGGGAAAATGCAAATTTTCACCCAGTCTAAAAACATGCTAAAAACATTTCACTGCAAGTAGTTCTACAGTATACAGCCTTAGTTGAGAATGGAAGAAATAACGTTTTATATTAAATCCTGCTAGTTATGCCATCTCCATGGATGGTCTCGAGCATCAAGTTTCAACTTGGTTATGCGTTTTCAAGCACTTTGTATGTAATTATTCAGGAAGTCGTCATAGACTGCTTAAAAGACTCAGTATCTATATAAAAATCAATCAGCATGTATGTATGCAATTTTTATTTTCTTTGTTCCCAAAATACTCTAAAGATTCGGGACTGGTTTTAGTGGAAGGTACTTACTCTGTGTACCACACAAGCCAAAAGGCAAGGATTTGGGCTTTAACCTGTTTTCCAAAGACCAAATACATCCTTACTATCCCATCAGAGCATGCAAATGTCTCACAAATATTGCTACTTTCAGCAAAGCGTTGTATCACTTGAGAGAGGAAGAAGCCATGCTAGCAGTAAGTAAGAAAAGCCAATCCTTGCCTGGGATGTAGAAAGAAGAATTTGTCCCAGCCCCAGATTGCACAACATTTTTTATACTGAACAAACACACTGTACAACAATAAGCTAACACAAACTACAAAAGCAGACATTCTCCTGAATGCCCAAGGGTCTTGGTGATGTTGTGAGAGTTGCCTGGGCTCAGCCTTATGCTTCCTTAACCTTCTGGTGAGACCCAGAAGAAGGTGGCTGAAGATACCTGCCTCATCAAAGCCCTCATTTAGGAGCAGGTTCACCTCTGCTTGTAATACCCCTCCTTGTAATAAAAAGGAACGCACAATCCTTGCTGAAGCTTTGTGGAAAATTCAAATGATAATTTCCTTGAAAAATGATGCAGAGAAAAGCACTGCTTTTCATGCCCCATTCACAGACTGGTTGAGACACTATTAAGTCAAGGGTGAAGGGTCAGCTGAAGGCATGGGGAGCAGCAGCTTTCCCTGAAGCCCCCAGACTTCCATCTCTGTTCTCCCTCCTGAAGGTCCAGGTTAGGAAAACAGGAGGAAAGGTAGACACAAAACACTTTGTAAAAACAAAGAGTTAAAGTGGCAGATGAAGTCAGGTTCTGTAATGAGTTGAAGGGAAAATGTCTTTGAGTTCTGATTAATGACCAGGGACACCTAGAGCTTCTTTCCCTGTCTCAGCAGTACATGACTGGTGCAGCAGGGTAATGTCTAATAACTAATCTTTGACACTAGAATTAAGTCATTTTGCAAGAAAGCAGGTCATTAGAAGCTAAATTGAATTATAAGTAATACTGTCTCTATGGAGAATTGTAAATTAATTGGTTTTTAACAATAACATTTCTGTATTTTATTAAAGCAGTGTAAGAATTCAGCGAAGAAAAGAATGTAGCAGATAAACAGGGCAGGTGTTGATGATGCAAATGAAATAGATGACAGATGGTTAGTAGCACGATCACTCACTGTGTGCGTATAATGGATAGAGGTAATCAAATTCCTTTGTGAATTGGTGACTTTCTTTACATCAAGAACTTTAACTGTGGCATGCTTATACAGCTTCTCCTTAAAAATTAACTCTGCTACTTGTCATTACCTGAAGGTACAGGACATTCGTATTTGCATATTGTCACAAACAAAAGCCAGGCATTCAAACAAAGCCACACCCAGGGAACCAGCTATGTTTGCAAAGCGGCTGTGCCACTATGGAAAAGTCCCTGCCATGAAGAAATAGCACTGGTTACCCCCAGTGTAAAGCCTTCCCCTGGCCCCAAGAACAAACCAGCATGCTGAAGGTGAAACCACAATGTGGGCTCAGCCCCTAAAATTGCAGGTTGTGGGCCCACCTCAGAGGGAAAAGTCAAGTTACCACTATAGCAGATGGATGTGGAGCCCAGCTCAGACCATGACCAGTATACTGGTTTTGAGGGACACCACACAGCCAAGCCTGAAGATGTGACATAGGCTGCAAGAGAAAACAACCAGGCTTGGCTCTCAGTGCAGAGATATCACACCATTACATATCCACATACATTGCACACACACGTGCAAACACACAGAGGGAAAAAGCATAGAATGCTTAAGCCAGCACTTACTTTACAGAAAGCTGTCCCTGTTCTGAGCCAAAAAACTGAGCAAAAATAATCACTGAAGGACTGCAGACTTGGTATCAGGAGCCAACCTCTTAGCAGAGCAGTTTCCAAGGCAAGGATGGGTTGCTGATGGGGTAGATAGGAAATATTGCCCATGCTCTCTTAGAATCTAAAACAAAGCCATGCCTCTTTCTGGATGTAGCAGCAATGTTAGAAGAAGCCCTCTGCCCCTAATTTTTCTAGAGTGGCAAAACCTCTCCTCAACTCTTAAATTGCCAGGCAGCAGGCTTCATTCACCCTAAGACTAGAATAGTTTCAGGGCCACAGTATCAGCTGCTTGTATCCACTGCTAGCCTCAAGCTTGAGCCTAGACCAATGCAGATCACACACTGTGCTTATATAAAGGACTTTGCTACATGATAACATTTCTCCAAGCACTAAAAAAAAAAAATAAATAAATTACAGTAGATGCTTTGTTGTACATTGCACAATCAATAAGTATACAGAGGTATAAAATCAATCGGCATACAGAGAAGCTAAGTAAGATTATTGCAAAAGGAAGATAATAAGTGAAAAATACTCACCAATGTGGTAGGCTCACAACATTCTCCCCACAGAGTGATCTCTAGGAAAAAAGCCCTCCTCTGTGGCAGTCAGCACTTAAATGGGATCTAGGAAAGGTGCAGCCAGGCTCTTCCCCTTCCAGTAGCACAGGTGAAGGCAATTCACCTGTGCTCCCTTGGCTGACTCAGTGCTTGCCCCAGGTGGTCAATCAGAGGTTCAGGCCATGATTCAGCAGTTGCCCCCCTTATTATGGTTCATAATAAGTCGTACTGTGATAGATGCTAAATGTCAAGTATTCTAGCAAGGTTCTGTGGTGATATACAGATATACATAAAATCTAAAGAAAATTTATTTCAATTTATTTAGGGGAATTGAAATTCCTCTCTAAGCTAGATGACAAAACACGTTATTAAATACCTTTTGAAATTCATCAAGAACACTGTTTGGGTCAGAGTAATTTTTTTCCATGCAAACTACATCTATTTCCTATTAAAATGAAATTGTGTTACGTTGCCACATCATTAGAAAAGGGGAAATGTGTGTGAAGTCCAGAGATAGCCATATGCAACAAAAGACTGCAACTGCATACAAGACATCTTGATGTTTCATTTTAGTCATGCAGTATTTCTGTTTTATGATTCTTTAATATCATATAGCCATTATTTTGGTTTATTTATGTCTACACTTATGACTGACACCTGCAAATAATAGAACAAAGTTATCAGGGAATTTTATTATTTTTCCTATGGGAAAACTAAGTATTTGTAAGGAAAGAATGTGTTGATATTACTTATTTTGGGGAAGGCAAAATAGAGAACCTTCATGTTGTTAAAGAAATGAGGCATAAATTCTTCAATACCACAAGTACATGGAATAAAACAGAAGAATTTTCACTGAAGAGAAGGAAATACACTTTGAAAATATTTTATCTCTGCTTTTAAAGAGTATCTTCTTAAGTACGACATCCTTGCTGCTAGCATTGCTGCTCCTCGCCTGCCCAGCAGAGACAAAGCAGCAACAAATGAATTCGGTTATTTCTTTTTGGGAAGCAACAACGACAAGTAGTTACAAAACACACAGCAGTGTGCTAACTCTAAACTCTGCGTTGAATCTAAACTTGAATGAGAACTGTGGTAGGGGAAAACCTGACCCGTTGCATTTTCACAGCTGGTGGTGGTTAACAGGCAAAGCAAAATGTCTTGGGCTCTCAGAAAGCAGACTGAACTTCACAGAATCATAGAATGGTTTGGTTGGAAGGACCTTTAAGATCATCTGGTTCCAACCATTCTGCTGCAGGCAGGGACATCTCTCACTAGACCAGGTTGCTCACAGCCCCATCCAGCCTGGCCTTGAAAGCTTCCAAGGAAGAGGCATCCACAGCATCACTGGGCAACCTGCTCTAGTGTCTCACAACCCTCACAATAAAGAATTTCTTTCTAATACCTAGTCTAAATCTACCCTCTTCCAGTTTAAAACCATTTCCCCTTATCCTGTCACTACATGCCCTTATAAAAAGTTCCTCCCCAGCTCTTCTATAGGCCCGCTCCAGGCACGGGAAGGCATCATATCACTTAATTTCTTTACTGAACGCTTTGGATAAGTAAGTATTGAGATTTTCATTTATTTCTTTTCAAATCTCACAAAGTCAAGATGTTTTTCTTGCAGGAGTATTTCTTGCAGGAAAATATTTTAGTGTAAAGTACACTTGATACAGGAACTATCAAAACTGCACACCCAAAACATTCATCTACTATTTTTGAGTAAGTCTCAGAGCAGAGGAATACTTGAAAATAAATGAAATTAGATTCCATTCAGAGTTATTAACTGTCTTGTGCTTGTGTTTCCTCACAGGTTAATACAAAAGAAGCTACCAAAAGAGACATATACCATCTGTGACCCTGAAGGGTCGTGGGACAGTTGGAAAACAAACAAAAGTTGCAAAATATGTCCCCTCTGACAAGCCCAGGTCCAGATGCACACTCCAACCTAAGGCTGTAGCACATCAGAAGCCCAGGCAATAAAGCATATGTTAAAATAGCATTCTATCACCACTGATTTGACGAAACAGAAGACTGATCATTTCACAGAGACTTGAGAGAGACCTTAAGATCACTTCCCACCAGGTTGAAACTCTCCTGAAGAGCCTGCAGTTGCCTCCATGCTGCTCAAAACACGAGAAGCTCCATTAGGAGGCCACACAGTCAACTCTAATCATTCAAGGTTCACATTTCTGCTCTAGCACCTTAGCTCTCATTGACATTTGTGAAGGATTACTTGCATAGCAGGAAATAAAAACAAGAACAGTTATTGATTTTAGCTCCTTCCACTACCCCACCCTCTATGAGAGTCATTTTGAACAAGAGTTGCAGATTCTCACGAGCTGACAACGTGCTGCAGGAGAACTCAATCACTGATTTTATATATTTTAGTAACTACATCACAATATCTCAACAGTTCTTGCTTTTTTTTTTTTTTTTTTTTTTTTTTTTGAGACCACCATTGAAAATTTGTATGGATTAATACATTCACCTTCACCATCCTGGGGAAGGAAAGAGATACATCCCATATAGTGAGACTAAATTAAGATAGAATTTAGGTGGGTAACTCCTATTGATCCCTATACACTGTAGGGTGTATAAGGATGTCATAAGGATGTCCTTCAAAGAACAGCAGAAGCATCCAGGCTGGATGTGGCTCTGGGCAGCCTGGTCTGCTGGTTGGTACCCTGCACATCACAGGGAGTTGAAAATAGATGATCACTGTGGTCCTTTTCAATCCAAGTCATCCTATGATTCTATGATTCTATGATCTCCTCTGGAATTACTTGTGGTGGAAAACTGAAATACCAGGGAAGTTACGGTGGAGGAGAAAGACACATTCTTAACGGATTTTTGTTTCTTCTCAGTATCTCTGCCACCAATTAGGAAACAGAGAAATGCTGTGATAGTTGCTTGTGCATCAGAAATCTTACTTGGTGCGGAGGTGGGAAAAGCAGAAAATTCAAAAGAAATATAGCAGCAGATATCTTTAATTTCCCTTATATGAGGAATCCAAATATCAAAAGAATCCTTGCTTGCTTTATGAAGTAATCACATTGCCCTTTTCCTTGAGCTATTTTGGAAGTGCTAAGAGCTCTCTGGGGTTAAAGTGAGGGTTTGCACTGAAAGTCAGATGCATCCTTATTCCAGTAAGAAACCAACGAGCAACTTGCATTTACACCATGCAACAGTTGCAAGGATGAGTAATTTTGCACCACTCCTATAGTGTGCTCTCTACAGCGATGACAAAGCATCTGTGAGATGAAAAAAAGCACAAAATTATTGCTTCACCTTGACTCCCATCAGGCTCACAGACCTGGCCCTTGCACTGAAGTACTGCCATCCTATTGCTCCTTTATCTTCTCATGAGGGGTAGGCAGAAGGTGGTTGTCTTTTGAGATGTGAACAGAAAGCAAAAAGCAACCAAACAAAAACCCTTGCTTCCAAGCTTGCTGGGAGAGTCCTTAGCTGCCAGTGAACTTCAGACAATAGCAAAGGCATTTGTCTGTGGGCTGAGAGAGCAACAGACACAGAGCAAAGGCTGCACACTATGAGACCAAACACTGCACAGCTCTATTGTCTGTCACAGATGAAAGACGGATTCTTTATGACAGGCTCTTGGGATGTCCTAAAACAAATATCATGGGTGTTATCATTTTTAGAAAAAAAAAAAATTGATAGAATTTTAAGTAGGATTTACTTTTTAAAATTGTTACTGAGAAGGGAGTGGTTTCTTGTTTTAGATTTACTTATTTTACTCAGCACATAATTTCTGCTAAATTAACCTAATTTTGTGACTGTTAAGTTTAAGTGACCTATGTTAGATAATGAACTTCCCATGCCTGTCTTTAAGAGGAATATTGGAGTAGGGATCCAGTGTTGAGCTGCTATATTTCAAGGATCAAACATCACCTCTTCTGCTATGGCAAAAAGGAGTGACAGATGCCTTAAGTTGCTGAAGTATTTCAGACAGAAAGCAGCATTTTCTGCAGCCCACGGAGCTTCTTAGCTTTTCCTTGGGCAAGGTGAGAAAGCAATGGCTGTCATGGCATTAGGGGAAAGCAAATCACAAAAGAAAGGGAAGTTTAACAGTAAAAGGAGTTGCTTCTTCCCATGGAGAAAAAAAAAGCCTTTCCCCAGACATGATGTGAGAAGTTTTAAGGAGAAAATGAAAGTCAAAGATGCTATTTGGGAAAATGAATGACAAGGTTTCTCATGAACAAGACCCAAACCATTTACAAAAAGAAAAGAAAAAAAAAATAAATTGGCAAAGTAGCCAGCTGAAAAGATTGTGTACGCCTCACAGTAACCACATGGCAGCAAAGGTGAAGTTAGAGCTGCACAAACTCATCTGTTCCTGAGAAAAATCTGTAACCTAAAATTAGCAGTAGACAGCACGATCCAGCGATGTGACGCGCATATGCGATCCGCGATGTCCATCATGCAGTCACTCAGATATCTGATGGAATCATTTTGTGCTGCTTTCACAGGAACTGGACTGTTGCGGAGGAGGCAGCTGAGAGGAGAGCTCACGTAGATATTGCAACAGGGAACTGCATGAGAGCTGGGTTTCGGAGGGTGCCTGAGGAAGACTCAGACAGCAGCTAGGCAAGAGAGGCATGATGAGCATGAGCAGAGGAAAAGCATCTGCACTGAAGCGCAATGTAAACCATTTCAGCCCCTGCACTTGTTGACAGTGAACATGGGGAAGTTGCACACGGCTTGAGTTGTTCAGAAATGACTCAAAGCTAAGCAGCTCATTGCAGACTGCACCTGAGTTGCAGCTGGTCAGCATGGGAAAATGTGAGCCTGGGTGCAACACAGCCACTGAGTGCAACTCCTACAGCAGAATCTCACAAGGGCAGTTCCCCATACCTTCCTCCTTGACAAACTTCAGAATAATACTGATTAATCAATACAGACACAACAAACAACTGGAAATGTTCATGAGCAGAAATGTTCAATTGCAGTGACACACGGCCCTCCATATACACAGGTCACAGCAGCATGACTTCTGGGA